TACCAGACAATATTAGTAAATCCTCCGCCACTTATAGTTCGTCTCTCGATTATCGAACCTTGTCTTCCTAACAAAAAAGAAGAAGAAAAATTATTTATCCATCTTCCTTTAACTTGTAGGTAGCCCTATACCTATAAATCTAATATCGATTTTCAAAGGGGAAATATATATATATATATATATATATATATAAAATAAAATTACAGGGAGTACTTCCAGTCTGAAAAAAACGCAATTTTCTTCCAACTTTTCCCCGAAATTCAGCAATGTGAAATAAATTTTAAATCAAATTCGAGCTTCTCTCGACAATAAATTATAACTTAAATTATGGAAAAGTTTTCCGTTTTGGAACTTTGCTGATTTCGACAAGATTAGAAACTTGTAAGATAAGATGGAAAGGTAAGACGACGACAATTCTCATTTATTATATAAGAGAATAACTCAACAAAGATACAAGAACTTTCATTTAAATTACAATATAGCGTGATCATTCTTATATGTATATACATTGGGCACAAATGACGGATGGTAGCAATAAATCCTTTGTTGTAGAACAACCCAAACAGATAGGTCTACATAAAGGATATTACCGGTTTATTACACGATAAGTAATATATGATAATTACACTTTTGAAATAACCAATTAAGCAAATAAACTTTTGGATAGTATCTACGCTAAGTGGTTTTTAAGAGAAAGATTTATAAGGTGATACGAATAGGAGAATTATAATTAGAATTTTTACGGTCCTTTATAAACTTCAAAATAGCTTTATAAATAATTCAAATGTGTTGTGGCCATCATTTTAAAATTCTTCTAGTCCTTAAAATAATTTCCTCTCGCTCTCATCAATGACAGCATTCAATTTATCGCTTTGGGTAAGTTCATAAAATTAGTTTTGATGGTGAAAATCATAAAACTCCAATGGAAAGTCACCTTTATTTATAAATTACTTCTCTTTCTGCCGAATTATCTTTCAATATTTTACGAGCGAATATTCTCAGGAATGAAAATATGTTACATTTTAAACACTTGTATTTTTTTTTTCTAATGTGGAATTTTAGGAAGAATGTTTTAGTTCATAGCTCATGCAGATAATTTAAAAGACGGACGAAAGGGTTATAAAAATTAATTAAACTGTTAATAGAAAAGGCCCGAAGATATTTTTAGAATAAAGTAAAATATTAAATAATCGTTAAAGATATTCAATGAATAATAAAGGAAGGCATCCGGAGGTTAAATTTTTATCCTGCTTAAAATGCTAAATCGAAATCAATAACTTTTCCCCCTTTTTTTGTTTTTTTTTTTGATTGATTTTATTCCTTACTTCATCGGATCTGAGTCATGCTATTTTGAATAATCAAATACTAAGACGAAAAAACAAGCAATTTACGATCAATATTATTATTATTTTTATACTTTATTGTAAATTAGGCAATTAAAAATTCAATGTAGAAATTTATAGAAAATTTGGATGTTTTACTGAATTATTATTATTATTATTATTTTATCTTTTCTCTTTACGTAACGCTTGATTAATTCATAAAATTTCTTCTTTAAATATTTAATTAAATTTTAAAAGTAAACTTTAGTAAATTGATAATATATTTATATTATTAATTAAATATATTAATTAATTTAATTAAAGTTATAAATGCGTAAATTAAATATATTTATAAGTTTATTTGATGAAAATTTTTCGAGCGTTTAACTAGAATTGATTGATTTATAATTAATGAATCAAACTGTGAAGGATTGAAGTTGTGTATTGATAAGTCTTATGTAAATTTCTCAAGAGAAAAATGACGAAAACTCTTTAAGATAAAGAAAAAATGTTAATGACTTTTGCTTTCTTTTATTCGGTTGAGAACAGTTTTAATTTTTAATAATGTGCTTTAAATAACGTATGAATTTGTTAATAATGTATTAAAAATAAACTTTATCAATTATAACTACTCATTTAATATGTATATAAACATACACAATAAATTATTATAGTGTATTATGCAATAACTTATATATCTTTTATGTCTTTGTCTTTTTTTCCTCACTTCTTCTCCCCTCTCTCTTCTTCTGCTCTCACTCACTCCTCTCTTCTCTCTTTCTTTCCTTTTTGCTCTTCTTCTGCTTCCCCCCTCTCTCCTCTTCTCTCTTCTTTTGCTCCCCCTTTCCTTCTCTCTTCCTCTCTCGCTCTTCTTCTGCTCTCCTCTTCTTCTCTACTCTCTCTCTTCTTTTTCCCCTCTCTTCTTTCTCTTTTCTCTTCTCTCTTCCTCCCTTCTCCATGTACAATTCCATTAAGAAAATTATCATTAAACCTCACCACTGTGGCACTTTTGGCGCTTTGGATTTTAATTCGCGTGATTTTTGGTTGTGGAGAAACTTAAAAGGTATGATTTATCGAGGATATGTTGCAAATTTAGAAGCCTCGAAAGACAGCAGGAAGCATCAATTACAGTCGCGCTCATTGTCTTCGGGTTTTGCACCTTTACAATGGCACCATACTGAGCACTATCTTCTGTGTTACACAGAGACATTACCCTTGTATAAATAAAATGTATGTTGCTTGCAGTGCCAAAAGTGCCACAATGGTGAGTTTTGGTACTATTTTTTTAGGAAAGTGTTTTTCGCGTATCCGTATATTTGATTTCTATCGAGACAGTGTTTATTTAAAACTGCATTCTTTTAAATTTTTATTTAAATAGAAAATAATAAAGTGATATTAGCAATTTATTCAATTCATTATTATTATTTTTTGCTAAACAGATAGAAAGTAAATAAAGGAAACAGCTGAAACTCTTGATTAAAAAGAGAAGAAGGAAATTTTTTTGAGAGATTTCCATTAAAATCAGTTATTATGTCAAAATAACTATTAATTTAATTTTATTTGCTTGTCAAAAAATAAGATTTATTTATAAACAAATAAAAATAAATAAAGAAAGAAAAAAGTCAATAAATTCCTTATAAAAATGAACACAAAAGATACTATAGAATTAATCATTTTAATATATTTTTTTAAAAATTTAAAATAAAATGCTTTTATTGGTCGTATTTTTGGGGTATGGTATGGTGAGAGCTCCACCCTCACCATACTATACAGTGCATTCACACACACATTATGGTTAAATTTTACATTTTATTATGTTTATCAGTTTTGGAGTGAAGAGTATGGAGGGGTGGGCTACCACCTAAAACATCTTTAAAATGCATTGTGTATGTTTTCAAAGTTTCAGACTTTTATCTTCATTAGAATTGGATGAAATCTGAGTTACAAGATTTGAGGATATGCAAGTGTAGACTCTGAAAGGACACGATTGATTCTTAGAAACGAGGAAGGATATCTTTTGCCCCATTTTAATTTGGAGTGGGAAATATAATCACAAAATTGAATTAAATTCTCATATAACAATATGGAGCCTTCATCTTACGATAATGCCACAGTTTGGAGATTTCTTTCTGTTATATCCAATCAAAATTTCTAAGAAAGAGTTGGGTAGGACATCTTTCTGAGACCATCAATTTGAATGTTGTTGACTAGGAAAATCAAATTGAGAATTCATGGAATAAATCTCTTTAATAATGGAAAGAGATGAACTTCTCGAGGCAAGAACTTCTTCAATTTTCTCAATAATGCAATGTCATTCAATTATTGAAGAAATTGAAAAGTCTAAATACTTGATTATGCAATGTATAATAATTATTGGTACAGTAAAACTTCGATTTAACGGACTTCGTATGTTATAATATTATTTTATTCATACTCATACATCACAATAACACTTTAAATTCGTTATTAAGCTGTAATTTTCCAATTACAGACTTATGTATTCCCAATAACGTCCCTCTGTTCGTTTGTTCGTCCGTCCTTCCTTAATTACGAGAACGGAGTTAGATCGATGTAAACCGAAACCAGATATGGAAAGATTAGCGACTGGAGGCCCGATTACCTTATTTTGGCGTGGATTCAGGGATTTGAAGGAAGACATTTTGGCACTCGACTGTCAGACCAACCGTTATCCAGGCACGTAATTAATTCCAATTCAATATCAAGTTTCTCAGATGCTGGACAAGAAAATCTGATGAATTCTCCAAACTTGTAAACATCTTGAATATCTTCTATGATGAGGGAAGAATTATCTGGTTTACGAACAGGAGGACATCCCTTCACGCCTTAAAACAACAATAAAATTTTATTAATTAGAAAATAAAATCAGTTTATTTAATATATGTAGTATTTTATGACGTATAAGATGCACTTTTCCACCGAAAAATACTGTCTGAAAATGGGGTGAGTCTTATACGCCAGTTAATTGTTTGTTCGTATACGGCAAGCGACCCGAAGGGGTTTTGCCGAGTGGGTGCCTCCTGGGAGAACTTTCTTCGGAAAACTGGTCCTATTTAAGTGCTGCAAACGCGAAGAAAATGCGGAAAACTCCATGTGGCCAACACGTTAGATAGCGCGTATTATTTTCATAATATGCAATGTCATGTTGAAAATTTTATCTCACAATATTTATCGGGCTCACCAGTCACCGGTGAACAGTGGTACAGTAGTTGGTGTAAGTTTGCACCTCACTAAAGTGGAGTTTTTTGGGTTTCTTTACGTTTGTAACACCTAAATAGAGACACATTTCCCGTAGAAAGTCCTTCCGAGAGGCACCCCCGTCGGCGGATCGCCCAGGTGTCGCGTTACCTCGCACAGTACAAACAAACTCACAATATTTATTCTATAATTTTTAGTATACTTACATTTAAATATTCCGATTTTCCACGTTTCGTGCGAACAAATTGCATAATTCTGACCTACCAATACAAAATTTTCAATGGAACACGAGAGCGTGACGTTCTCACCATCCAATATGTCATCGTTTATATATCTTCCTGAAGTAATTTTATAGGGTGATAAACGTTCTTCCAAATCGTAAATATTGCATCTTGGAACGGCTGTAATAAATAATTTTATAAAATTAAAGGAAGAACGAACGAACAGACGAACAGACGGACGTTAATAGAAATCTATTATTTAATCAAAAAAGACACAGTCTGCTCAAAATTTCTTTTTGAAACCACCATTTCTGATCATGTG